TGTTTAGACAAGATATCACGTCTGCATCTTGTACTATGAATAACTACTATGAAGACAACAATTATTGTAACTATCCTACTAACCTGTTTTGAAGCTGTCTCATTGCTATTTCTTTCTTAATAAAATTAATAAAAAAAGAAAAAAAAGACTTTATGGTATTGACTTCATGATTGATGTGGTAGAAAAAATAAGCTGAACCACTTGGGATATATCAGCTTATTTGGCAATTCATACTTACACACATTTTATTTGCAAAAATAAACAATGCTTATAGCAGCTATTATTTACTAAATGCCTGTTATGGACTAGAAAGCTGTGTTAAACACTTCAAATGCTAAAAGCTTTAAATACATTTGGCATCACCATAAATTCATAATTTAGGTTCTATTTTTAGTATCAACTTTTAAAATGAGGACACCAAAGTTCAGAAAAAATAGTGAGTCAATGATTACCCAGTTAGTAAATGCATAAGTCAAGATATACAAATCTGTATACACATTTGTGACTACTACTCTGTATTCTTCAATACATAAGATTTTTCTGTTTCTTCTTGTTTTTCCTGTTTCCTATTTCTCTTTAAATGATGTAATATGCAGAGATTACATATTGTGTGCTTCTAAACCATATCACAATTCCCGGCTGCAAACTATTTGTAGCACTTCCTATGTGATATGTTAAGGTAAAATTTTGATCTTTGGGGCATATTTATTTATAAATTTATTAATATTGATGTGATATATGTATATTTACATTTTGTTTTTATTTTTGGTTCAAAGAGCATTTTTATAAGTAATCTTGTTCTTATATGTCTCCATATTTTTGTTAATGCAAGCATGTAATATTGGCATAATGATTTCTCTAGGCAAAGTTCATATGAGTATTTTGTATTGATAGATGAGGTTTACTAATTTCATACAGAATATCATACCTAAAATTCATTTGTTTTGTGTTTAAGTTTCCAATTTTTCTGAGTGCTTCATTTGACATTGTGCAAACAACTTCCAGAACAAAGGGAGGTGATGTCCAGTGTGCCATATATGAGTTTCCAATTTTGAAAATACACTCTCCATTACTATAAGTCATAAACAATGTATTTGTTACTGACGTTATAAATTTCATGATAAAACTTTCTGGCTTCTGTATTTTTTTAGGATTGGGAGTAAAACCCAGGACCACAGGCATTACCAGAACAATATTAAAATTAGATTACCAATTTAAAGTTAGTTAGGACAGATTTGTTACTTCTCTATGGTATCATTATTTTTCTGTGATATCATGGACATCAGTTTAGTTCTATATTATTTGAAGTATTTTCTGTGAATACTTTTAACTTGTAAACTAAAATAGTCTAAGAAAAAAGCACTTAAAATTGACAAAAAGGCAGGACAAATAATGAGACTTCTACCTCAGTAGCAAATAGGAAGAAGTACTCAATTCTGAAAGTTTATTTTTATATAATTTTCTATAGAAAAAAAAGATGTTATTTATGAATACAAGCTTTACAAATTGGAACAGAGTCTCAGGAATTGAGATATATAGAACTGTCTGTCTTCAGAAATGGGATTGCAGGGGCTGGAGAGATGGCTCAGTGGTCTAAAGCACCTACTTAGAACAGGCTTAGCAAAAGCATCAGGGACCGCGGTTCGATCCCCCAGCACCACAAGACAGCCAGCCCCGCCCCCTGGTGGGCTGAGCTGGCCACACACACACACCACACTCTCTCTCTCTCTCTCTCTCTCTCTCTCTCTCTCATAAGTAATAAATAAATAAAAAAAATTTAAAAAAAAAAGAAATGGGATTGCAGCATCATCTAAATATGTTGCACATAGATATAAATAAGATCATATGTAAATATATTTTGTGACATGTTTTTGATATTTGTATATATACTCCTTGTATTATCGTTATCAAGAATAATAACTGTCACTAAAAATGAAATATAGTTAACTAGTCTCATTTAAAAATAGTTGATGATACCCTGTTATTTATAACAGAGGCAAACTATTTTTGAATTATTCAGTTGAATAAATTTTCACTTAATCTCTATAATGCAGTTATATCATTTCAAACTGTGGCCATGTCAAGTCTTCTAAGATATGCAGCTGTGAGTCTGGTTAGGAGTCATCTTGGAGGTTTTGGCCAAACTTAATGATGCACAAACTGGTTTAGATGACTCAGAATGGTACACCTTTCCCTCTCCAAAGGCATATGCTATTAGATAAAAGGAGAAGATAAGCTTTTTCACTTTATTATATTTATTATAAGGAAATTGTAGGACAGGAGGCAATTTTGATTCATTGACTTATTCATCTCACTCATCTCCAACTTAATAAGAAAAAGAACTGTGTCACAGTGCCAGATTGTGCCAAGCCTTATGAAAAGGTAGATTCAGTGCTGGTTATTATTATGGGAGGGCACTACCGTACAACAGTTGAAGAAAGTATTCTTTGAAGTCGGATAACATGGATTGAATTCTGGTCCTATTAACTTCCTGTCCTTGGAACTGGCTTGCTATTATATTTACTTCATATTCATTTATTCATCTATATAAAGGAAAAGTAATAGCACACATTCCTTCAGGGAATAAGGATGATGCAATATACATATATGCATATTTGTATTATTTATTAAATGTATGTATACTGTATATCAATCATATGCGAATATCAGGTAGGTACATAAAGGAAGACTTGGATGAGACACTGTCTATCAAACTAATGGAAAATAAATTGTATTCCACATTCTGCAAAGCTATCATTGGTTATTGATGCACATAAGTTGGCTATTCATACCAACATACCTCAACTGTGAAAGGCACTGTTCATGCCTAAGTTTCCTAATTTTTTATATTGCCATCACAAATCTATGGGTTGCATCTACCTTCCTACTTGCC